ACACACACACACACACACACACACACACACACACACACACACACACACACACACACACACACACACACACGATGGGTTAATTTGGTGCCTTAACTTCAGCTTCACGTCAAAAGTACAAACCGTGACCGTTCTGCTTGTTACACCTGATTTCTTCACGGGAGTTTCTCGGCTGCGGGTYGCCAGGCGGGGCTCCTCCTCGGTTTCGTCTGTGTCCGCCCCCGAACTGGGTGAAGAAGGTGGGCTTTCCTCTTCTTCTGCTACATTGTTGCTTCGCTGAGCTGAAGACGCGGCACAATAATTAACCAATCAGACGTTAACACTAAAAACCCACATGTCAGCGCTCTCATTTTTAAACATCTCCAACAAACAGCCGCGTGTAATAAACTTTAGAGGCGTTTTATAATCACAATAAAATAACACGTATCTGTTCCATCTTGCATCTAAGAACATAAGGTTTAAAATATAACAGAAACAATCTGAAGCAGCAAAATGAATGCTGAAGACGTTCTGATGAAAACTAATTAAAGCTGTCAAAACGACAGATACCAGCAGAGTGATCACTGTAATCATCAAACAGGACACCATTACAACAATTACATATGATAATTAGAGTGAAAGCACATTTATTTTATAGAAAAATGGCCTGTACTTACTTTCATACAAATGGCTTTGAGCCATTTTCCTCCTTTTTTGTAAAGATCAAAGCAAAGATAACACACTGATAAATGTAGCTTGTAAATTTCAGGCCTTATAAATAGTTAGACCTTATCAATAGACCAACAGATCCAGTCAGAGGAGCTGTAGGCCTATAAGGAAGGAGAGCAGCCTTGTTCTAAAATAAGAAATGTGTTGATGTTTAGGTTCAAACTCAGTAAGTACTGATTATGGTTCAACTAAGCCTGATACTGCAGCAGGTTGTTTCCTCTTGTTAGGCGCTTGATACAGCACAAAAAAGATCTGCTTTTACCTATACACCTGGAGGTTATAACACTACCAGTTTAGCCTTTTTAGTCAAATCATTTCAAGCTTTTCTGATTCTCTAACAGAATAGTTTAAAGCGGATACAAACATAAAAAGGCAACATTTTGAGTCAAACTGTTCCCGTTTGCTCATTTTCCAGCAGCTCTTTTTGTAGCAGAGCAAACAACTTATAATTATGAATAAAGTTGTAGAACTTTAATAGTCCACACAACAAAAAGACCTAAAACACAAACAGCCGTAGCAGTCGTACCTTGATTTGGTCTCTGAGAACGTCTCTTCAATGAGGTCTGGGATATTTTGGGCTTCAACGCCTTCCCTGATATGTGCTTCCCTTTAGAACTGGGGACAGGACCACATTTGTGCTCAAGTTAGAGGTTGAAATTAACCATTTAAAAAATATATATCTTAAAAAATAAGAAACAATATTTCTGGCATTAGAAACTAGAATAAAAGAAATATCTTGCTAGCAGAGGGTGTCGATTTGAAAGTGACGCTCAGTACCTGTGTGGACTGTTTGGCGGGGAGTTGCCCCCGTTGTGCAATCTGTTCCTGTAAGTGAGTCTCTGACGTGCCCGCCGTTCGTTCTGAACAGCAGATTTGTAGTCAGAGATAATGGAGATGATGTGTTTTTCAAAAAAGGCAGACAAGCTGAGAGTCATGGTGTAGATCTGGAGAAACAAGAACGTCGTYGTGAAAACTCCACAACCTCAGACCTTCCTGAACCGTAGAAATCTTTTTTTACAGGATATTTTTCACCTCAGAGATGCGACCTCACCTGGGATTTCTTGTTTGGCGTGTACGCTCTAGAGTTGCTGAAAATGAGGCGGACATCTTTGGCGAACTCCATCGGGTTTTCGTAGTTCCCCGCCACAAGAGTCTCCGACACGGTGCCCAGGTCCATGGGCGTGTCAATGATGTCTCGATAGTCCTGAGAGGAAAAACAAATATTTATTTTTAAATCCCACTCACCAAGTTCTGGTCACAGAGGTTTTATCATTTCGACAGGTTTCAGGTTACCGGATACTCRAACAGGTCGACAGGCCGTCGAAACGGCTCAGAGTCCGGGGAGGTGAACATCCGGCGCAGCAGCTCTCGACACTGACTCCGCCACATTTTCGCATCCAAAGCCACACCTCGCTTCTTCGAATTAGAGTTGGCTCCCTGGCAGAAAGAAAATAAAATCTCAGCTGCTGATGTTAAACCATCAACTAACGAAAACTGTTTTTTTTTACCTGATGTCTTGAAGATGTTCCCGGAGTGTCAGAATCCACGTCAATCTGCAGAGGAAYATAAAAACAAAAAAGGAATATAAAAAGTAAAATCAGTCCCTGTTACACTAAATAAAGGTTTATAACTTGACACAATCAGAAGTCTGACCTCAGCCTCTTCTCCGCTGCTGACCTCAGACTTCAGTTTCTGATACAGGTCCAGGATGTCGGTGCAGCTCTGGTCTCTGATAAACAGCGAGCCAAGGAATCAGAAATAATGCGGCCTCRAGGAGGCGCTCAGAAACGTCACTGAGCTTACCCGATGAAATGAAGGAGGACGTCGGTCACCACCTTGGCKGCGGCTACGATTGGGCTTTGGGGTTCGTTGAAAGTGCGAGCGTTGTGTTCGATGTAACGCACCTCCCACATTAACGCAGAGATCCGCCTGCAGCAGAGACATGAGTCAGGAGAAGTGCACCAGCAGTTTGTTTCAGCAGGTTTCACTTTTCACAGCATTCTTTGCAGTGGGGACATCATGAGTTTGTTGCAAAATTTTAACAATACGTATAGGGCTCATAAAAAAAACGCATTACCTTTGAATTTTCAATCCAATTTCATTAAGAGGGAAAGTACTTATAATCTTAAAGGATTTGAAAATTTTCTTCAAGGAATAAAGTTGTGGAACAACATGGCTAGCGATTATAAAAATACTGGTTTTATTAAATTATTTGGAAGAATGGTAAAATCTGACTTGACAAAATATGAAAACACATAATAAGCATTCATATAAGCTGCTATTTGAATAATTGTAAGTCTTTATTTTTCTCTTCTTTTTGCTGATTGTTAGGGTATGAATTCTTTATTTATGTATACGTATGTAGGAGTGTATGTAATATTATTATTTTCTTGTTAAATGGGGGCAGACGTTATAAGATTTTTTTCTTCTTATTTCTGCTCCTTTTCATTTTAAAGATATCACGTTTGTGTTATGTTGAATTGAATTTAGTTTAGTTTTAATTAGATGAAATAAAAATAATAATAAAAAAACATCTTTGCTTTCATCAGGGGGATGCAAATATTAGTTTTTTGTTAATAACGTTTAAATATAAGAACTAAATTAGCAAAAACAATTTTAAACCCCGTCATTTGTCACTTCCTGTTTTTTTTTTCCGTCTGCTCTGGTTTGGTTTCATCTGAGATGAAGTTTAGTTATCAACTGTAAACCTGAAACCGTTCAGAGGTCTGAGCCAGGGGAATACAGAGAGAGAACTGAGCACTAGAGCGGGGCATGTTCAAAGATAAAACCCAAGAACGCTGCTGCACGTTGTTCGTTTTGACACAACTATTAGCAGTTTAGCCTCARCCAACTTTAWATTTATTTAGCTTTTATYRTTAGAATTAGCGTTTTAAATGTTAGTGAGGCTAATATTTTGGTTAGCTGTGCCCACCGCTGAAAATAAAACGCGTGGCTTCACCTGTAGAAGCGGTTCTCCAGACGTTTGCGGATGGTGCTGAGGTCAGTGGGGTAGGCCACGGCGGTGCAGTACAGCGGGTACTGCTGCAGGTTTACAGGTGATGCAAACGCCTTGGCCACATCTGCAGACAAACACGRGTCAAGCAAGGGAAACTTGAACAAGGCCAGGTTTTAGAAGCATTTATTTTTTTGAAGAATCGAGGAGCTCACCGAGCGTGAGAAGATGATCGATGCCGAGGATGACTCTTTCACAGTCTTCATCTCGCGTGTGAGCGCCCCACTCTCCCTCCTGAGGCCTGTAGAGCAGAGCTTTAAGCTCCTCCTCCGACACGTCCACGCCGTCACCCACTTGTTCTGGCAGGGCAGCTGAGAAAATCAACATCTGTTAGGAACTAAGTCGCACTAAATATCACTACCAGAGCAGCATTTTGTTGCTGTAACAAGTAAACAAGTTATACAGATGATTTGTCAAAACTAATGATTATAGTTTATATTAAACCACATTAAGCCTTCCCAATTTTTCTATTTTATTTTAGCGATTGATAGATATGATTTTAATTGTTCTAATCCCGTTTTTGCACGAACATCCAGGCTCATCACACTTTGACTAAAGTTAGATTAATACATCAAAAATATAATAAAAATATTTTACATCAACCAAATGTTGCACAATAAAAATATTTGTTACAATATAATTTTTATTGAAATCAAAAATAATGATGAAGCTTATCATCATTATTACCTAACGTATGTGATGCTTCTCATTACAAATAAAAGCTTTAATTTTCTTTATTTAAAAAAAATTTAATGAAAAGAAATACATCACCATGAAACACTATTTTTTAGAATTTTGTTTACTATAATACAATTTCATTGAATAAATCTAGGTATGAAATTTTGTAAATGTTTACATTTTGTTTTGTTTTTCACATAAAATAAAATAAAAAAAAACACTGGATTATCCCTACAAGGAGCTCACATAAGTGTTTCCTGTTCGATTAGACTGGAGAGGCAGCCGAGGAGGTGAATGAAGGCCCAGATAAAGTAAAAAAAAATAAAAACTATTTATAATTTTGGTGTAATAAAATATTTCTGCAGATTTTTTTTGTCTGTAATCAAAGGTCAGACAAAAATATTCACCTTCTTCCCCTTTTAAAGCAACCCATTCTATAAAAAGAGCAGCAGTACGATGCTTTAATTCAAGTGTAAAGAGCAGCTAATATTAAAAAAAACAGCATTTTCTTACTGACCTTCCTCTGGAATGGGCTCCATGTCCCAAGGRCTCATTTTCTCCTGCTCACCGTTATCCCACCTGATAAAAACAACAGTTTTTACTTCATTAAATAAACAAACAGAAACGTGGTACTGGAGCAGAGCAACAGCTGAAAACATGGACGTACTTCACTGCGTAGCACTGAAAGAGGCTGTCTGGGTACTCTGGCTGCAGGGGCTCCTGGTCCTCCACGGATCCGAACCACCAGGCGTCATCGATAATGCTGCGAAATCTCATACCTGCAGAGAAGATCAGACTTTAATGAAAGAAGATCCCTGACGATAATAATAAAACAAAATATAGTTTCAAAAGACTGCTGAGGACCAACAAACCTGGCTGCCAATTTTGCTCTTTAGCCTCGTTGTAAAACTGCTGCAGGACCAGAAAATCTATCACGTCGGGCATATCGTGATACCTTGTAAAAAAAGAAAAAGTGTTGAAGTGTTGTTCGTTTTGATTTGCTGCATATAGTGAATATAAAAGCTCACTTTAAGGAGAAAGACTCGTTGGTCATTTTCCCTGAAACTGGGTCCAAAAAAGCCAGCTTTAGGCAGCAGAGGGTCGGGGGTCCGACTTCGTATTTAATTCCAACTACCTTYACAGATTCCTGGTCCTGAAGAGGAAGAGAGAATAATTAATTAAGGCTCATTTAAAACTGAATCCTGTCTTAACCCTGATTTTCATTCATAAAACCATCAATAGATTAAAAAAAAGGTGTTTCAGATTTTCCTAACTCTTTATCTTTTAGTGCAGTGATTCCCAACCAGGGGTACGCGAGCATATTACAGGAGGTACATGGAAAAATTTCCCAGGTGTAAAAAAATAAATAAATAAAAATACGACTGAGATATGTAGGGCCCTATGACTTCTACAATGCAGAAATTGCAGTCAGAATCACGGAATTAACAAACTGGAATCCAGTATAAAACATGGAATCTCACAGAATTTGTTCATTTGGGTGAGTTTATGACATATTTTGGACAATACAATGTACAGTTGTGGATGATGCTGTTTTCTGCACCTGCCATTACCAGGTTTATATATTTAATTACTTATTCACTTTCAAGCCAATGTTTTTATCTTTGTTTAATTTGAGTTGAAAAAAATAAAATAAAATGTCTGAGAATTAAACATTCTAGAGGGTTAAATAATTTTTTTTATGTAATAATCAGTTGTAGTAATTCTAGTTTTGGAGAAGTGTTATGTTTGACTGAAGGAGTACTAGTGGTATAATAAAATGGCTCAGGGGTACACAAGTCTGAAAAGGTTGGGAAGCACTGTTCTAGTGGAGCTTTGCACAGCAGGGTCTGTTTTTTTTCCCTCACCCTGAGGTTGAGTCTGTTCCATGGCTGCTTCTGAGGGTTGATGCTGTAGGCCTTGGCTCTGCGGACAGCCCTCATATAGGCCTGATGGCCCTGTTTGAAGTAAATGAGCTGGGCGGGAGCAGGAGAACCAAGATTAAACTTTATGAAATGTAGCGTCGTCGTTTTTAAATCAACATCAGAGTTCTCACTTCGTCTCCCATTTGTGGCACGAATGGAGAGCGGCGTGGGACGGTTTCCATTATCCATGGCGGCGGCTGCCACTCCTCCGCATTAAGTCCAGCAAGAGAAGACGTGGGTTTCTGGGCGTATAAAGTGTTATACTGTTATAATAATGTTATAAAAGCTAACCTCTCATCAGCTCTTACCTGTTTGGTCTCTTTGGGCTTCTTCTTCTTCTCGTGTTCTTTCTTCTGCGCCTCCTTGTTATCGCCGCCTCCATCTTCCTCCTCGGAGCTGCTGTAAGCTGCAGGCTGGACGGGCCTCCTGGTCGATCGCTTCGGAGGCTGGAGGTTGATCCCGGCATCAGCCGTCCAATCGGAGTATTCACTAGACGAGTCGCTGTGAATCGAAGGCGGTTAGGTGACGAGCTGAACGGGACTACGCCTAAGAAACACTTTGCTCTTTCGAATATACTCACCTGGAGCTGCTTTCACTTTGCCACTGATTTTCATCATCAGAGGAGGCRTCAGACTGCTCCGCCTGCTCTGCTGCCTGGAAGTACAAAGATCAGTTTCATCACTGGTTTAATTTCTCTCTAATATCTAAAGATATGACATACATCCCCGCTGTCTGAGTCCATCTGGCTTTCAGATGTCCGTCTGTTGCTGGGATTGCGACTCCTGGTTCCAGGCCGGCGGACCTGAGCCGAGCGCGTCTGGTAGGTGTGGCGCTGCTGCTTCTTCTTCTTGGCGGGCCGCAGGGAGCRCAGCCGGGAGGCCAGAATGTTGCTCTGTAAAGTGTGAAGGACAGAGGGGAAATTTAAACATCGGAGTCGTCCTGTGTGAAAAAATAAAAATCAGACTTGAGGAGGGAGGCAGCAAACCTTAGGTGGGCAGGCATGTGGTTTCTTCCTCCTCTCGACATTATAAAGAGAACATTCCATGTCGCCTTTTGCTTTTCTGCATTCCTCCAAAATTCTTTAAAAAAACAAACAAACATAAAAAAAAAACAATCAACAAGATGAAAACAAATCTTAACAGTTTTCTGTAAAGTTCTGTAAAGGTAATTGTTCCCTCCATCTCGCTCACATGGATGTGCCCCGGGGGACCTCATTGACCACCACTCTGCGGCTCCAGGCCAGCAGGTTCCGCTCCGTGGCCACTTGACTACGAAGAGAATTATGCTGCATCTGCCAGACTCCGTCCACCTGCCCGCTTCGACGGGGCTCCGCAGCTGGAGAGGAGGGCACCACCTCTTCTCCTGCAGCTGCTGGGAACACGATCGGTTCAGCTGTGTGTGATTACGCATTTAAAAATAATCTTAATTAAATGTGGTTCGTAAAATAGCTTATGAAGCAAAGATTTTGCACAATGTGTAGCAGTCAGAGTACAAGCTGGAGGTGAAGCTCAGCTATCATCACAACAAAAATTAGCCGAGTTATAGATGTTTTTGTGTTTCCTTTGGTTAAATCTGTACGCAGCAACCTCAAACATACCTTCCTCCCCTTCGTCCATTCCTTCTGAATTCTGACGCTCGTCCTGCTCATTCTGCAGCTGTCTGATGAGACTGTCCAACAGGCTTTCACCATTTTCTGCTGTTTGCTGGCCAAGTACCTGCTCAACCAGCTCTCCATCACCTGAGAAAGAAGCAGAATGTGAGTTGAGCCCTGTTAGCCTCCTCAACTTAAAGCCATCCTTAAAAAAGGTAAATAATGTAAGACCTGTATAACTAATTGTGGAGTTCCTCAGGGTTCTGTGCTTGGATCAAAACTGTTTATATGTGAATGATTTGATCAATATGTCGAAGCTTTTAAAATGTATTCTGTTTGCCGATGACAGGTGTTACAGACAGAATTTAGGAAGGTACAAACTTGGTTTCAACTTAATAAATTATCACTGAATTTGGATAAAACAAATTATGTATTTGGTAACAGAAAACTATTAAAAGGTGTCATCACTGATGAAAAGCTAACATAGAAACCTCAGAAATTACTTAAAAATAAAATAGCAAAATCAACTGCATTGCTGTACAAAATAAAAGAGTTATTAAATGATAAAGCTTTTTGTAAATTATATAATACATTTATTGCTATGTATTTAATTTATTGTATTGAAGTTTGGGGAAAAGCATGTGGATTTACGTCGTTTTTCTTTTTTAAAATGGACTTTTTGTTATTTTTTATGAGTGAAAAAAAAGTCTGCGTTTTTACTGTTAGCCATGTAGCCTAGCTGAGGTATTAGCTGCTCCTCCTTGCAATTCTCCCTTCCTGGGACCAGTCGCTGGTAGTGAGGAGGATGGGGATTCCCATCGATGTCCACRAGGAAGGGTGGAGGCATGAGGTGGGGGGCCTGCTGCGTCTGCTCATCCAGAACGTAGTTATTGGAGTCACGGATAAGAGGTCGGTAGTCCGTGTGGAAGAACATCTGGTCGGGAATCTATGAGTTACATGGGCGAGTCAAATCAGCAAATTCTGACCACAAATAACCTCRTCGTGCAACTTATTCTTTACATAAAACATCAAATTACTATAAATAATAGTTTCATTCCGCAGTGACCCATCGCTACCTTTTCATAAGGTTTACTGCAGCCGAAACCAAAAACGAGTAAATGTCCGTGTGAGTCTGTGCAGGCGAAATGCTGCCCATCAGCTGAGAACTTGCAGTCATAGATCGCCCCGTGGCCCTGGCCCTCGATCTGAAAAGACAACTCTAACATCAAGGCAAAGCCAGTGAACAAAAAGAAATAAAACACTTCTAACCACTCCTGACTACTAGTTACCATGTTAAAGAAATTGCGGATCTTGACTCCTTTGCTCAGGTCCCAGATGTAGATGTTGCCGTCGTGGCCGGCGGACAGCATGATGCGGGGRTCGAAGGGGTGCGCCTCCAGCACAAACACCTCATCGTCGTGTCCCTAAAACAAACTCTTTTATTAAAAAAAAAAAAACAACAACATAAAATGAGTCACACATTTAAAAAAAAGTCCACTTGAGTGACTCACAGACAAGACGTGCAGCAGCTGTCCAGATGCTGCGCTCCACACTTTGAGCAGGTAGTTCGACACCGCTGTGATAACGGTGCTGTCTGTGCGATCCCAGGCCACCATCGTAACCACCAGCTTGACTTTATCATCCCCGTTAGCGACGGTGCTCCTAACGCACGTCGTACAGAAGGAGAAAAACGCTGTTAAAGAAACATGGCGCTGTGAAACTGTTTGCCGTGCTGGGTTCTGCTCTCCTACCCGGGCAGCCTTGCAGTCACGTCTAACATAACGCTCTTCCACTCTTGCTGCTGATAACGCCAGATCCTGACTGTGCCGTCTCGGCTGCCGCTCACAAACCTCAGGCTGGGAACACAGTAAACTGTCAGATACTTGTAAACAACACAAAAAAAGGATTTTGGGTCTCACCTGTCGCTGTTATTGCTAAACTGGACGACCACAACTTTATCCTAAAAGGTTAGCAGACAGAAACGATTATTAAACTGGTAAACCGTAAAAAGATGATTTTTAGACAAAGTCAACCAAAAGTGATGACCGTGCTTTTGCTTCTTACCGTGTGAGCATCCATTTCTGAGACTTTCATTGGATTTTCGGCACCGAGGTAATAAACTCTGATCATATGATCTGTGCTACCAGTGGCCATAAACATACCACCTGTAAGATGTGGGAATGAGTCCATTAAGACAATACACACAGTGAATCATTTCATTTCATCGTTTAAGTAGAAATGAGACAAAAACATTTTATTTCCTGCAAGCATACATCACCTATTTGCATTMCCAGGCAATGAAATGATACCGTGTTATGTACCACTGTAAATCTGGCCAATAAAATGCGACTAAATAAACTCACCACTACTGAAGGAGGAAGTGGAGACTTGGACTCCTGGGCGTGAACGCTCAACAAACTTGACAGGTTGTTCACTGAGGAAGGAAACAAAAAAAAAATCTGTGGTTATTTTTCTGAAATAGAAGTACTTAAAAGCTYGTAAATTTACAAGAGATGCATCGATACATACTCAAACTTCAGACTGAGGGAATGCCACTTCCAGAAACACACCATGCCGTCTGCACCCGTCGAGGCGAGGTACCGCGTCGTCCCTTTGGCTGCAGGACAAAACTGGGACGAGACACAAAGAATCAAAGGGAAATTATTTTAATGTTAAAACCTAAAGTCAGCTTTATGTGTACTAATACACCCTAAAAACAGTTTCTGAGACTAAAGAAGAAACACTTGCTAATGCTTTTCCTTTCCAGAATGAGTCACCTGTACGGATGTGATGGAGGATGCGTGAGCCTGCAGAACGGCGACGGGTGCACAGGTGCGCAGACACCACACTCTGATGATTTTGTCGCAGCTGGCTGAGGCAAGGAGGCTGTTCTCGTAGTTCACAGTCATGTCGCAGATCTCCGCCGCGTGGCCGCGCAGCGTTGCCAGGAGTCGGCCGTCATCTGTGGCCCAGATTTTCACAAGGCAGTCGTCTGAACCCTAATATGAGACGAAGAGATCGTTCCAGCAGGATGTACCACTGACTTCAGCTCAATGTGTTTAAGAWGCAAACAGAGACTTGTTTGATGAAACCGAATCAACTCACTGTAAATATCCGCCGACCTGTGCGGTCAAAGGCTACACAGTAGACTGAGGAGAGGTGGCCGAGGATACGTTTGTGTATCTTCATGTATTGGTAGGAGGAAGATGGCAGGGCCTGGCTAAAACGAGCCGTACCCGTGGCCTGGCGAGCACCCATGATGGACACTTGATAAAGACACCACAGTGATTAACAGAGAATACACAATAATAATAATAATAATAATAATAATAATAATAATAATAATCCTGATGTTTGTGTTTTTTAAGTGCATCAGTCTCCACTTTAGTTTTGTCTTTTGTTGGTTCAGAAATCTTGTTATTTGATCAATTGTAAATGCACAAAACTAACCCCCTTTCAAAGAGAGGAGCTGCTTCCTTATAACAACCCTTTAAAACAAGGCAAACTTGTTGCAAGTTAAATTAAAGACTTTTTAAGACTTCTGTAATGCCACCTGAAATTAAGATCAACTTCACAATAAACTGAAAAAGAAAAAAAAGGTTAGTGACGACTTTATCCAATTATTTATTTTAACACTGAACAACTAGCTGCGAGAGGAATTCAGTATTTTTTTTAAATTATGTAATGATTTTTTGAATATTATTTTAATATTTGAGACTAATTAGAATCATCCTTACAATATGCTAACATTTTAAGAKCTCTGAAAGACTGATTTAAGACTTTTTTATTGTTACTGTATTGTGGCTTCATTTTTGTCACATGAATCACACAATGGAGCATGTTATATGTTCATCGTTGATAGTGTTTTTTGATTTTTTTATTTGTTTTGGGACCAGCTAATTTTTTTTATCACATTGTAAAGCATWACATTTCAGAATCAAAAGTATTTTATTTTTTACCATGACTAAAAAAAGTCACAGGAACTATTAGTCAAATAAAGAAAACTAAAAATTCACATACCAACATTAAGAACATTTCCATTGTTGATTGGTGGTTCAGGCGGACGTCCTCGGTGGAGAGCAACCACAGCTGAGCCACAGCATACTTTGTGGGTACAACCTAAGTTACATGAACAGTGGTGGTCTGAGGACTGTATACAAAAACAGAAGAGAAACCAACAGAAGTGTGTGTATGCGAGATCACTGCTTACTTTTGGTGGTGCGAAGCAAAGACTGTCTTCCCAGCCCCAGGAGGGTTTGGACTCCGGGAACACTAGGTGGGATCTCCTTCTCTATCAGTGGACCTATCCGCTGACAAACTCGAAGCAGATAATCTGCAGGAATGTGCTGGTTCAAAATCACCTGGATAAGAAGATGAAAATTGTTACAAAGTAGAACCAACAAAGAATTTAATAACAAAAGAATTTAGTTTAATAACCAAAACTTTTTTAGTGGTCAGAAAAGGCAGGTCCTATAGCATGGTTGCGTAAACATAAATACTTACTTGTTTTTCTTTCTTTTCTTTAAATCAGATTATGTTTAGTTTTTCAAGTGAAACCACTCAACATTATTATTTCCCTGGCTTTACAAAATACTGTGTGTTCTTCAATTTTTCACTAAAGATCAAATTAGAATGTTTCCAATCAGATATGTAATATTTTATGACCGCATRTCATTACACAAATACAGATTTGTTCAAATGAATAGTTTTGAATCCACAAAAACTATAATTATGATTTTTTTAAGATGAAGTTGCAAACATTTCCTCACAAAAAACWGTTTAATAAACACAATATTCATGCAGTTTTAAAGACTAAGTAGAGTAAACATTTTCTAGTACAAACAAAATATATAAATTTAAAGTTATTCAGAGGGATTGAAAGTGTGCGGGAAAAGAGGCGGGTTAAAAAAAAGCCTAAGCGAATCAAAAAAGGTTTTTTACGACACTTCCGGGTTGATCAAAAACAAAACAGTGATTTCATTGGTTACAAAGGAAGATGGACAAGTTTTACTAACGGGTTCAGCCAATAGGAATCTACCCCCGTCTCCACTCTACCAGCCTACTAGCCCACACAATAGCGTAGCCAGTATTTAGTTATTTATCATCAGGCCTATACTGAAATCAATATTTAATACTTTTTAATTAACACGAATAAACTTCTACTGATATTTGTTTTAGAGTTTGTTAGTTTATTAAAAAATCTCGAATCCGCTTAAAGACAATGTCAATAAAAAATATAAAACTGTAATTATTTTATGAAAAAGTAATAAATATGACCAATGACACTCACCCAGTCTTGAAAGGTCCGTTTGTATTTCTCCCCGTCCCAAGTCCATCGTTGCGGGATCAACTAAATTTAAAAAACGATTAGACGATCAGAAAACAACACAAAGCTATTAGCTTCGACTCGACAATTGAAGCGCTTTTTTAACGCCAGTCTAAAATCACTTTGAAGTTTTTTTTTCTACAGGCACAAGAGGTAAATGGGCGCCTCACAAGACCGCATATAAGAAACACAGAAACCGAACTTTACCTCATACTCTTCCAGCTCCTCCACCAGAATCTAACAAGCAGAAACACAGTTAGCATTAGGCTAACAGGGACGCTTAATTAGAAATTTATTGAGCAACGTGAAATATTATTGTGACCGCTACCTGAGCTGATTTTTTACAGGGTCCAGACTGAAGAAATCTGGCAATGAGGTAATACAATTCTGAAAAGAAACAGCTTGTTTATTAGCTTGCTAATATCGCTACTGAACCGAGCTAACAGTGGCTATCTTCGGGCTTAAATACAAAAATACACTCTGCAAATGAAAATATATTTATACCCTGTTAAAAACAATTAGTCAGCACTCACCAGCCTCGGTTTGTGAACACTGTTGTCGTGCCATCACTTAAGACGGACGACATGAAGCCAAATTTCTGTTTTAGCTTGCTCGTTAGCCGCCGGCTAGCTAAGAGTAGCTAACACGGCTAGTGAATGGCCTCCTCCTATCTGATCCCACAGAACCCAGAGCTTTGTTTAGCGCCCTCCAGTGACGCTTTCTTTAACATTCTTTCTTTTTTTTTTTATTGAAATGAAAATCTACATTAATTTTAATTTAACACCTATTGTAGTTTATTCCTATTCAGGTTTCAAATTGTAGATAAATTATAGAAATTCGCTTCTACTGTATTGTATAAGTCAGCGTTTTTTAATTATTAATAAACAATGTTTTGTTTTGCCAAGTTCTTCATGTTTTCTTACATTCTTGGTTTACATGTTTATATTGTAGTTCTTTTCAAAAGTCTTAAACCACTTCCTATTTTTTTTAAATGATTTGCATCCAGTGAGCCAGACTTTGTATCAGTGATTAAAACAAAATGAACATGTTAGCTCAAAAAAAAAAAAAAGCCATAGAAAAAGTAAAAAAAAAAATGGGCATGACTTTCAATTAGAAACTAATGGTAATAAAGAGACAGAAGTTGTAATATTGTTTTTTTTCTTGAATTTTAAGCATGTTTTACTGTTGTCCAGAAAGGAAGTGCACAGCAGCCTGGTCATATGGCTGCACAGCAGACTGAACATGTTTACTCTCTTCAGAGGACATAAAAAGGAAATCCTCTTGAATGACAAGAAGAGCTGTAGTTTGTTCAGTATTGTTTCTCATGCGATTAGGCAGCTTATTGTTATACATTTACTGCATAAAGCTTTAACAAAAATTATTMTGAGTGTAATTTTTTAATCCTAAATCTAAAAATATATATATATATATTTGTTAGGGATCAGTCTGAAACCTGATTTTTTTTTATTGTGTTAAATGTGTGCAGCCCTGGGCTGCTGCTTCTCTTAAGTGGAGATTTGTTTGTTAATGGTTTAGTTTTGAGGTGGCTTCACCCCGAGATGCTTCACCATGTAATTGACATCTTTTCTTTGCAACCCATGAGGTCAAGGAGTTCTCTTTCATGATGGTTTCAAAGCTGAAGAAAACGCCAAAACGTTATGTTCTATCCTTTTTTATGAGTTGTTGTTCGCAAGCAATTTTTTAAATAAATGTCCTATCTTACAGAAAACTTCTTTCTGGTTCCTTGTTGAATTTCTCAAATGTTTTTATTGTGTCATGTTCCTGTGGTCTTAGGATCCTTTTATTAAATATGGTAAGATTATGCTTTGTACAAGCTGCTGGTGTTGAAAGTGCTTAAAGAGAGTTTTAATTTGCTTATATTATTATAACTTAGTTATATGTCGACACAACATCTCTTGAGTTTAGGAACCTTTTTATGGCTCAATGATTCAAACGTCAGAGTTAAGCGGCTTAGCAAACAGTTTTTCACTAAAACTAATCAGGTGCCGCACTAAGGTCAAACATATTTTGTTTTGTTTTGTCTTASAAATGTAGTTTACCATCCCTGATACCTAAAAAAAATCTTATCAGTTTGTATATGAACAGCTTTATTTTTGTGGGGAGCAAATGAAGGTTCAGTTTGTTTTTGTCTTCTGAATTTGTCACTTGTTTATATTATTTTTATTTGATAAAATAGTCTTTTGGTAAAAAAAAAAACTTACTCAACATCTGCATGATGTAAAGAGATGGATTATTGTGGTTCAGCTGTAAGGAGTAACTGAGTGCACATTTTTTTATTCCTCCTTGGAATACTGTGGTACATTATCATTCATAAAAATAAATGTGAATATTGTGTGCTCATTAAAAAAATGAAATGGTGTGYAACATCTGTTTGACTCAAAGGCTTTCATATTTTTTGGGAGGGAAAGTGGTTTTAGATATTTTATAGAGAGCACAACAGCTGAAGTTAATCAACCTAAATAAAAGATGAAACCCACTTGATTTGCTATGAATGTGAGCTTCAAATAAACAAATCTGATGTTTTGAAGTTTCTAAACCCTTAAACTTCAGTTCTACTTGGAAACAATTTTTTTAACTTGGGTCTGAGACATTCAAGGAAAGTAATCACACATCATCCAGATGTTTTACTTTGTCTTGGATTCCTTACCTAACATGGAAACATCACAAAGCACGTTCAGTTTACCACTTAAAATACAGCCTGTTTGCTAAATTATAACATGTGAAAAGTGTTGTTTAAGGTTGGGCATATTTAACTTCTCATTAAGTTTGAGGCATGCGAACAATCAGGGTCACGTCATGTTCACATCTGTGCACTCAGCAAAAATATCGCTCTGGCAGCCTGAGAAGTTTTGTGTTGTATTTTGTGGAAACGTTTGTTTAAACTCTCATCTGGAACTGRTCTTTTTGCCATGTCATCAGACAAATTTGTTTCTTGTTTATCAATAAAAAAAACAAACAAAAAAGGTTTTAGAGTCCAGACATTTTAGGGTAATTAAATTCATGTTTAGTGCAGAAAAAAAAGTCAACAAACAGAGCTGACTAATTTGTTGCCTCCAAAATTTTAAACAAATGTGCAGTTTGGTAATGCTCACAATGAGTATTGTAGGTTAGTCTCAGCAACAACCACATCAGGTTGTAAATTAGGATTATTCAACTGGTGGCTCACATGCCACATCTGGCTCATGTGTGACTTCAGTCCAGTCTGCCAATAATTAAAACAAAAAAGTGTTTTAAAGACCCTTTTGACCTTGAAGAAAGAGCACCACTAGAATTAAGATACCTTGCATATCCTGAAGTACTGTAAATACATAAATAAAAATACATTTTGTTTCTTTTTCCTCCATTGTTTAATATAAAATATATTTTAAATAAATTTTAAATGCAAGTTTTAATGTAGCAAAATCAACAAATTTAAAATTAAAAGGCAAGAGATCACAATACTTGTTCTTTTATGTAATATTTAGAGATTTGCTTTGAYTGTGGCAGCCATCTTGAATTGATTTGATGAAACCTTTATTGTCATTGTACAGAGCACAACGAAATTAYATTTTGATCTCAGAAAAAGGTAAATAATTTGTAGATGAACAGCCAAAGATTATTTTGTGCCGCTTAATTTTCATCAAAATAGTGCTTCCTGMAATATCTTGGTTGCGTCAAAACACCATCGCTCGCCTGTCGACAGGGGGCGCTATAAACTACAGATGTGTTTATTACATTTCCATTATTGACCTGAAGGGGGCGCTTCAGCGTCTGTGACCATAAGGAGTTTATTATTCAAGTTTATGCTGTGATAACCAGAGCAAATTAGTTCAAACACAATGTCTGGTTTTAATTAGATAACTTGTTGAATTTTGCACAACTAGGTTTACTTTTTTGTCCATTTTTATGAAAGTGTGTTTTATTTTGAAGGAAGCGACACCAACTTTATTTAGTCCAGTAGGCGGGTCTCCAGTGCGCCGCGGAGCTGCGCTTCATTCAGCCTCTGGTTTCTCTCCTGCGGACAGCAGCAGGAGGAGCCCGGTGTCGGTCAGCTSCACGGCTTTCAGTCCGGTGAACGGTGTAAAATGTGAGGTGTGGACCGGGTCAGGAGCTCCCCGCCTCTCCACGGACATACGGGCAGTGTTGAACGTCTCGTCAGCAGCGCTGCTTCATCTCCGGGCAACTTTTGGGATTGTAGGACATTTGTTTTCTTCCCATTAAAGCCCAGTCTTCTGACCCGTTTATTCCAGTGGATAATAAGGTAGGTTCTTCCAGCTTCTCTGTTTGACCACATCTAATGACATTAGCAGAGTTGTAAAGTAACTAAGTACAAATACTTCTTTACTTAAGTAGAATTTTTGGGTATCTGTACTTGAGTAATTATTTTTCAGCCTACTTTTTACTTTTTCTTACATTTTCACACAATTATCACTTTCTACTCCTTACATTTAAAAAAAGGCAAGAAGAAAGTCGTTACTTTTATTTCATTTATGCTTGTTTTCATTCCAGCTTATAAAAAATAAATACTATCCATATAAATTGGGCTTCCTAGATAGAGTGAATTTAATTGTGGTTGAATGAGAAGTATAAATATGTAAAATTTTGATACCGTTTTAGTTTTACACAAACAAATCATGTCACACTTCAACAGGATATAATCATTCAAATAAAAGAACTGTACTTAAGAAGTATTTGTATTTCATGAATTATATTACATTTGGCTGCAGCCCTCAGATAGATTTTCATTTAGGAGAAAAGCTTTGTGCAGCCTTGATATATAAACTGAAACAGCTGGACTAGTGCATCCTAAATTTAACAAATTAATTATTTTAATACAATATAGTCATTTCTGCATTTTTGGGGAGGTCACCTCCTAATAAATGTCATTACGTAAAATCTAACTGCTCATTTTAAATCAATACTTTTGCTTTTAATGCTTAAATATCAGATACTTTAAGACTTTTACTCAAGTAATATTCCTAAAGGAGACTAACTTTTACCAAAGTAGTTTTTTTGGTAATCACGTGTCACTTTGTGGTACTTTATACAACACTGGACATTTGTTGCTGTTACAGTTTTAAAGTTAATAAGCATCTGTGATTGGAATGACTGCTCATCATTTGTCAATTTTCWTGCTCCTTTTGCCCAGTTAAAGCTATAGATATTTATATCCTGAATATACTGTAAGTCAGTACTGACTGAGAGCATGTTAACTGTATCTTAACAGGATGTTTTTTCCCCTCTCCGCTGGTCTTAGCATTGTGAGAAGTTTAAAGGTCGACCCCATTACTGCAGTGTTGTGACTGCTGTATAATGAAGCTTAGTGTGAGTTGTTGTCACACAGCCACCTGGAAACCTGCTGTTGCTTTTGGCCAAGACTCATTCTCATCATCGCAGTCCTCATTTCAACCTTCAGGCATTTTGTAAAGACAGAATGAGACATGTTTAACTGGTAATACTCAGGCACTAGTCCTCGTCTATAACAGAGATGTGACTGGAGAATCCCAATAGGAGCTAAAGGACACTGACTTTTGACATGCATGGAGAGAGAGGAATGTTTTTACTGAAATTTGTTGAGGAATGAATTGTTAGATAGGTTAAAATTGAGACAAAACAAGCAGGGAAGAACCTAAAATCAGCAACACAGCAGCTAAAATTTAAAGCCAACAAAATTGTATCTAAAGGCTAAAATTAGCAAAATTGTTACTAAAATCTTGAATAATGCAAATCTAATAGCTAAAATCTAGCTTAAAGCTTGAATTAGCTAAATTAATAGTTAAAAACCTAGTAGCTAAAATGAGCAAAACCAAAGCTAAAATCTAGAATTAGCAAAACCATATCTAAATTTAGCAAAACTAGCCAATATGTAATATTAT